AGAGAGAGAGAGAGAGGTTATGTTGTTTTTCTTACAATCTTGAAAACGTTTTTTTGAAGCGCTTACCAATCTTCGAGCGCGAATAGTTTAATTGTTATGACATGAATTCCTTATCGGTCAATTATATAATCAATAAGACAGACCGATATTTCGTTATAAAATTTATCAGATTTTTCTCACCGAATTTAAAACAATGCTACAAGTGCATTGGCCTGTTCAATATGGTTGAACAGCAATAAAGTTTATCACATATCACATTAGATGTCACTACTTATTGAATTAACAATTTAATATCGACATATATTTCATAGTTTATAAATATTAAAAAAAACTATTTTATTAAAATATTATAAAAAAATATTTATCTATCTATAAAAATTTATATATTTATCTATTTATATAAAAATATTTCATTATATTATAATTTTTTTATTATATAATAGATAGTATAAAAATATAATGAATATATGTATATAAATAGTTACAAAAAATAAAAGAATCAAATGAAGTAATATTTAAAAACAAAAATATTAATTAGATTTAATTTTAAGATTTTTCTTTTTTTTTTTGAGATTAATTTTATGAAAAGAATGTTATCATGATAAAAAGATAACTCATATAATTCGTAATAAAATTTATTTGTATTAAATGGGTTTAATATACAATATTGTAAAAATTAGTACAATTTGAAAAATAGAGTTATAAAGAAATATTATCTTGACTTACATATAATATATTCTAAAAAATACAGATTTTTATATGTATGAGGATAATTTTTGGATATAAGGATTTGTTAATCCTTAGAATTTATAAAAACAGATTTATAATGAAAATATTCCTTCTATAAAACTTTTCATAATTATTTTCAATATAAATTAATAAGCATTCCCTATATATATATATATATGAATCAATAACTAATGATTTCTTATCTAAGGATGGCATAGTTCGATCAACAAAAAAGAGCAGTATTATTCCGTTGCAGCAAAATCAGGCAGGCTGGTTAACATGTAATCCTTAAAACAATTGAAATATTTTATATAATAAATGTTTTCATATATAATATATGTAATAACAAAAATAATATATATATCGCAAATAAAAATTATATATAATGAATTTTGGTGTGTTACAGTGGATAGCATCATTAACAATTTTATGCATAGTTTTAAGCGTTATTATTTTTTCTGTTATTCAAATTGGTAAGCGAGATCATGAATTAATAAAAACTACTACTACAACAACGACACGTAGACCACGACCAACTAGACCACGTAGAACTACTAATGTATGTTAAATGACTTTTTATTTCACATTTAAATATAATTGATAATATTAAAAGTTAATTAGAATGAAAATATAAATAATGTATTAAATAAAAATTACTGCACTACAATGCTACAATATTATATATATATATATATATAATTTGAAATTTAAATATACAAGTAATATTTATAAAAGTAATTAGATTTTAGAAATATTTCATTCTTTGTCAATTTAATAACAATATTTAATAATATTATTTATTTTTCAGATTTCATCTATCAATGAAAATATTTTGATTAACGTAATTGACTAACAATAATTGACTAATAAGTTTATTTATGAATTAAATTATGAAGATTTCATCCTTACTAGTATTATGTTCGAACAAGTAATTACATTATTTATTGTAGTATTATTAGTATATCATCTTATAAAGATGCAAATTAATCAAGTAAACAACGATGATTAATTTTGTGATATAAATAATAAAAATGTTTAAACTATATGATTAATTCTTCTTTTTTTAATGATTTTTACACTTTTAAATTTTCGAAAATTTAAATTGATTATTTATACTTTTATTATTTTATTAACATTATTGATTAAAGAGATGTGACAAACTTGCAAAAAAAAAACAACTTATTAAATTATAAAAATTTACACAGATAAATATTGAATCTTTTCGAATTTTTCAAAACTTTTAGCATGTAATGTTTCCAGACATAAGTGAATCCTTTTAGATATAACTCATTTTAGATATAAATAGAATTGTTATTTTTCATTTTCTAACATACAGTTATTTTTATATATAAAATTTAAATATTTTAACAAAAATATATAAAAATGTTATAAAATATTTAAAAAATTTCAATTTCAATAATTTAATTATCCATTTATTCCAAAAATTTATATTTACACAATACTATACAAAATAACATCAATTCTTATTTATTATATATCAATTCTAATTAAAATCACTAAAAAAAAATTTATACAAATAAAATATTTAAATTAGTAAATATTAAAAGATGATTTTAATGTGATAATGTTTTGACATGTTATTACATATAATCTTTCATATTTTTTAATTTTCAATTTTTTAAGAAGAAAATTTCTTTTAATTTTTAAAGGAAAAAAATCTTAGAATTTAGGAAAAATCTTCTAATATGAAACAAATAAATAAAATTTTCAAAACTTACTTTTTCTACAATTTTCGAAAAGAATTGTTATTAAAGGTTAGATATCCATTTTCCAGACAGTGTGAGAAAGATTTTAATATAACATATTAAATTTATAATATTTTGAAGAATTCATAAATGAATATATAATAAATATAATTAAATATTATTATTAAACAGAAATACGAGATATTTATTTAGTAAGCAATTTTAGATAAATGATTACATGTAAAAAATGCACGGATATTTATTTCTTTAAATTTCAGTTTGAGATTTTAGGTTGTGACTAACGTGACCAATTAGAAGCTAGAATTCAAGTAATACCCCGCATCCCCACCAAATATAAGGACATAAGGACTAAACAAACTAGTCAGTATACAACAAGACTCGAGAATAGTATGTCAGGTACTTTTTGTAACACGTCTGAGAATATAGTTCAACGTAATAAAATATATCATAACGTGAACATAAGGATAAGAAAGGCATGCCTCGATTGCAAGTTCAGTAATTCAAGACAGGCATGCTTTGGTTGCAATTTAAGTAATCCGAATAAAAGAATCATAGTGTGGTTGAAATACAATTTATCATGGATTCAGAGAAAAATTCCACTACAAACATTATACTGTAGAAGATGCAAATATGTGCTATGCAAGGTATTCCTTTTAATTGAGAAATCAAAATTTTTTAAAATTTGATTAATTTAAAATCTCAATTCTTTAAATACATTAAATGTATTTTTGTGTGCTGTATATACAGTGAAATATATTTGACAGAATAATGTGAATAATTTGTGTCGATAAAAAATTCGAAATATTTCAGAAGATTTGTTAAAGAAAAATTATTTTATTTTTATAATGTAATAATATTACAATAATAGAAAAATCAGTAGAGATTTTTAAGAAATATGTTTTAAGAAATGTTTTTAAGAAATATAATTAATATAGTGATAGTGATATTTGTGATCGGTATTTATTTTTTCTATGAATCTATCGTAATCATCCGTGATCGATCATTAAATTTTTTAAATTAATTACGTGAATAGTTGATTTATTTAAAAAAAGAATAGAACTTGTAACCAGTACATTCGTTACTTTGTTTTGTGATTGTTTTGTGTTATGTTTTAAAATTCAATTTATTTAATTTTTATATTAGATATGAATAATGTAATATTGCTATAAACTTTAATGACAATTCAACATCTTTTTAGTATTTATAGCAAAATTGCATGATCGTGTGCACTGCATCATTAAAAACATGAACCTATCATCACCGCAACGGGATTATAATGATAAAAAAACGCTTGTCTGCATTATTTGAGTAACGTATTTGGTTAAAAAAGTTGATAGTTGAGTCAAATATTTTCATTTCTAAAATAAAATATTTCAATATATTATAATATATTAATATACTAATATATTATAGAAATACAAATAATAATGTGACAATTGTAAATTATTAATTGCACAATAGCAAAAAAAAAAATTGGAAAATATATATGCGAATTTTTGTTATTTTTCTTATTTAATCAATTTTTATATATAAATTTATATATAAAATTCTTATACAATTTATGTAACAAACATTTTGTTTTTGTATATTATACAATTTATGTAACATTAATTTTGTTAATATTATTATTTAAGAAAAGACAAATTGAGAAAGTAAATAGTAAGTAAATAGTGCCACAAATGTCGAACAAATATTTACATATTGAAATAATATTATTTCGCTTACTATAAATATGATTCTATTTTAAATATGATTATTATATATTAAAATATTATATATTAAAAATTTTTGTTTTTCAAGATACAGTTCTCTTCAGCAAATAATGATTATATCTGAACAATTGATATTTTTTATGTAGATTTTTTCTTATTATTCTATTATTTCTACTATCTTAAATATTTAATATTTCAAAATTAGATTAATATAATTTTTTAATTATATATTACAAATTAAAAATACATAGAAATTTGCAATTATTTATTTAAGTGCTTTATTTAGAATACATTAATTTATCTTTCATTGCTGATGAAATACTTATATTTTTTGTTACAAACTAAACAAAAATTATTTAAATTTCTTAATTTAATTATTTATAATGATAAGTACAATAATTATTTAAATTCTTAATTTAATTATTTATAATGATAAGTACAATAATTTTTAATTTAAACTTGAAAAAATTCATTTTGTTTTTGCAAAAGAATCACTTTTAACTTATTTAATATAATATAATAAAAATTATTATATAAATTGTTATATAAATAGTATTATTTATAATCATATTTTAATCGAATTTCATGTTTATATTTAAACTTTAATTATACTTTTGCTAATTGTCTATTAGAAAATACTTTGTCAATTTTAATGATCTTAAAATATGTTTATCAAAATTAACATTCTATATAATTTTTTTTATATATGTAACTCGATTTCAATTTTTGAGATATAAAAATTTTTAGATATTGTATTAAATTCTGTCTGCATTTGCGCAGATGTATTAAATTACGCAATCATCTTTTATTGTACTGTAAATGCATTCTTTTACGTTGTTATATTAAAAATGAAACAGAATCTTAAATTAGATCATCTCTTAATAAATTAATGTTGATTGTTGTTAGATAAGAATGCAATTATCGTGAGATTACTATCTATATTAGTCAGAATCGAATAAAAAAACTTGATAATTTATTGTACATACATTCATTTTATATTCTTAATATTAATATAATTTCTATAACATATAAAAATGATATATATATTATACATTATACATTATTATGAAATGTATAGACAAAATTCAATAGTATAGAACCAAAAGTTTTTTTGTAAATATATCAGAAACTAAAACTGATTACATAGAGTATAATAAATAATTATTCATAATACTAATCTTGACAACAAGTTTAAATGTTATCAAAATTAGTGATATATTAATGACATAAATATTTTATATTTATATATCTATTTTAGATAATTATCCAATTTTTTTTTTATACATGTTATTTAATAATTTTGATTGCAAAATTTTCTTCGATATTTTAAACTGCAGTTACATTCATATCTCAATATATCTTTAAATGATATCTCTAGTTTTAGATATTTGTATTGATACTTAAAAATTTGGCATGTTATATTTATCCTAATCATGGCGTGAAATATTTTAAATGTTTGCAATTTAATGATGTTTTCATTGAAAATAATTGTAAGTAAGAATTTTACAATAAAAATTATTATTTTTTGTTAAAGAAGTTGTAAATTTTCCAAAATAAACATTAATTTAAAAATATAACGACACAAATATATATTTCTATATACATGAATTTATGATAATTTTTTATGATAAAATAAAATTTCACAAATAAAATATTTTAATAATATATTATAAACTATATTGTTAAGATTTTAATTTTATATGTTTTCAATTAAAAGATATTTTTTTAGTTTATTTCTATGAATTACATACATCAAACTTCGAAATCATCTATCTTCAAGCGTAATGTGATACTCGTGATGATGGATTATCCTTTCAAAACAAACATTATATTTTGTCACTATTGCTTTTCAAAGTTGGTTTTCTAAAAAATATGAACTATAATTATTCTAAAATATTTTTACACAACTACCTATCGTGAATTTATTTTTTTTGATAAAAATGTGTAAAGAAATATTTTTTTGCATATTTCATTGATTTTATTACAAAGAATTATTACTCAACAAAACTTTTTTTTTTAAATAATTTAAAAATAATGCACAAAGGAAACAAAGTTATTGATTAAAATTATTGCATTAAAATTAAAATTAAAATTGATAGTACATTGGTTGTAACAATAACTTAAATAATTGTAGTTGATCTCGAATGAATATCAAGATTTTAAAGATTAAAAAAGTAGAAGAGATAAATAAAGTTAAATTTGAGAAGTATTATGCTATTGTTAGTAAAGATGATGTGATACTGAATAGTTGGATATAACGCATGTACTATGTTTCTTGCTATTTGCCTATATATGAATATATATGTGTATATGATGATATATAATTTATTCAAATTATTATTATGAAATATTATTATAGAATATTGGAAAATCGATCAAACATTTATAATCAACATCTATAATATATTTATATATTTGAATAAGAGATAAAAGATAAACTTAAAACTTCAATTTGTACTTTGTTTAATACTTATTTACGTATTCCTTGTTATTCAAGTTCTATAGATTAGATATTATTAATTTAATTTTTTTAATTAATCCTTCAAGTTATTTTATATGATTTTCTTTATTTCATTTTTACAAATTTCTGATACAAGTTCGATATGTTAAAAGATAACTGATTATATCAGACTAATTCATATCTTTTTTAACAGTTATGTTTATATTGGAAAATATGGGTGAGATATGTGTCTTGGGTCCTGATATCGGAAGAAAGAAAAAACGATTGATAAGGAAACTTCGATAAGAACTTCAGAAAAGTTTTCGGTAAGCATTCAGAAAGAAATTAAATTTTGAAATTTGATTTTGGAAATGATTTTTTTAGCGAGCAATCTTTCATAATCAGCAAATATATATAAAAAAAAAAAAATAAATTAAAATAGAAAAAAAAAATAAAGTTCCGAAGATCATGAGACCAAAACATTTTAGATAAATTTAATTGTTATTAAGAAATATGATTCTAATGGAACTAGAATTTTAATTTCATGAAAAGTATATAATATTTTAATAATTTATCATTTAATGAATCAATATTGTTCTTTTCCTGTGAAGATTAAAAATAAGAAATTAATTGATAATAATTAAGTTGATAATTATGATTATTAAAAAGTATCAATTATAATATTAATCGAAATAATTAGTATTAATTAAGAATTAAGAATTAATCACTTGCTTGTTAAAAAATCGTTCAATAATCACATGATATCTACATATCAAATCTTGTAAGAAGCAAAATCATACTGTACATTTTGCTATATCAACTGTTTTTCTTAGATTACTGAATCAGTTTCGTATTATGCATGATAAACAGTTGGCATTAATTTTAAGTACTCTAATATACTAATTTTATCGTACGCTTAAAAACTTGACTAAATAATTTAAAATTGCTTCTTTTTTTGCTTTTATATTTTGCTTTATTATTTTGTCTAACAATAATTATTATCCCTTGCATAATATTATTTCCATAATTTATACGTTTGTATAGTTTTCTGAAGATAAAAAAACAATATCTCAAAATAGAATCTCTTGTAAAAATTATTATTTTTGTGTAATAAATTTTTATTTTTCTTTTTTGACAAAAGTTTAGAAAGTCTTGATGATAATATTAAGTTACCCGTTTTAAATTTCTTGTAATTCCTATTATTTTTAAAAATTTTTTCAAAAGATTAATTTCCAAAAATTTTCTTTATTTTTACTTTTAAGAATTATTTGTATTATAACGTATCTACTATATTGTTTTCATTGTTTGCGTTCACATGATATAGTGAATATATAGAACTATTTTGCTTATACATTTAATTATAGTGTTTATTAACTCTATATTTCGATGCAATGTCACAGTCTTTGACATAGAATTGTGCATTACCTTATATATTATCTTATTTATTACCAATCATCAAGTACAGTCAAATGATTTACGTTGTGATATTACGTTATCTTTTATAAATGACCAAAGTTCGAGAAGTACTTGCACAGAGAAGCACGAAAGAAGTCTATTGGTGTAAAGTAGATAAAATTTCTGTTCGGTTAAGTTCGTCATAATGATTACGTAGTATCTTCGTATAAATAAATAGAAGAGAGAGCTCGTAGAATTCAGTTTAAACTTCTGGATGAATGTGGTGAAAGTTTATTTAATATTTATTTATCATCGAGAAGTTTCTTATTAATTGTTTATAATTATTATTATTAATTATTATTAAGTGATATCTTTTTATTAAATAAAAGTCGCTATTTTGACAATATAAAGAAATATTTTTGTGAAATATTCTTAATAAAAATGTTACATGCAGTGCAATCTTTATGTGTATTTTGAATTAAAATACAAATACTTAAATATTATTGTACATTACAAAAAGAAAAAAAGAAATACAAAAGAAATAAATTTATAATTTTATATACATAATATACAGAATGTATGAAGATAAAAAAATAAATTATATATTTATAGTTCAAAATAAGAAATTAGAAAAGTTTATCAACTGCACAATGAATATAATCTTCAAAAGTGTCCTAATTGAAGCAGTTCCTTACGATAATATTATTTATCAAATCTCATTTTCTTATAGAACACATATGTATATACACATATATGATTGAAATAAATACTATTTTTATGATTATATATGCTTCAAAATTTTAAAAAATATATTTTCCATTCAACAATTATTTAAGAAATAATTCGCACATCTTGTAAGTAAAATATTTCATTCAAATAAAGGCATTCTTTATCTCATTGAATATTTTCTCTTCTCAACTGTAAATTTCAAACAAAAGACGATTAGTGAAGAGGGGGTTGATGAGTTTATATCAAAACCAATCATCTTCGCCGTAACGTACAGATAGGCATGGTGATCGTGAAACAAACATTGATATTTTCTTTGGCTGGTTGATTATGTTGAATTTGTCAAATCGTGTTGAATTTTTGGCCAAGACATAATAAGCATAATATACATGTGTATTAAACAATATTCTCTGACCAGCCAAGATAGCCGATATATTTAATGCACAGGAGAACAACAAAGACGTGTCTGCTGCGGTGATGCCAGAAAACGCGCAAACGGAATCCGTTGTGCCAATGATGTTCGACAACTTCGTGTTGAAACGGTGGCTTCGTTCCATCGGACCAGTTCGCCGTTCTGAAGTGCTAAAAAAGGTGCGATTCATTTTCATGATCGAGCTTTCTGGCAAATTAGAAACGGATTTTTGCGTTGTTTAATAAATGGCATTGCCTTGTATTATCATAGTATCGTATTACGCCTAGGGGTATGGCGTCGTCCAAATGAAACAAATAAACGCGATGTAAACATCAATATGAGACGTTTGTCTTCTTTTTTTATATCCTTCAAATTTTTTTTCTACATGTTTTCAAAATAGAATTCCGTTGACGATGTTACGAGAATCTAACCATAAAAATCGGTGGCGATTGTTTCAGTTGAAAACGGATCTGGAAAATCTAGGCTTATCACGTAAACAGGTACATCAAGGATTGATGCAATTAGCAACAAAACCACATGTGGTCCTTACACGCCAATCACTCTACAGGAAATGTGGGTAAGTTTACAACTATTGACTAATAAGAATTGGTAATAAGAATATTACTGTCTGTTGATTTTTTCTCAAGAATCGAAATATATTTTCATAAATTTTCTTCTAATTTTTTAAATGATTATTACGAATTGAATTATTCTTATATTGATATGATACATACTAGATTTTTTATTAAAAGACTGTTTAATTGTCTAAATGTGTTCATTTATTCATCTTGTTTGCATTGATATAAGACATATGAATCATATACATTCATTATTTAACTAATTATTGAGAAATAATTTACATGCAATTTCAATGAAAACAAAATTATAACAAAATTATAATTAGTTAATTCTTACATTATGCAAATTCTATTACACATTCATTTTTTTATTTATAGTATATTTTCGTCTTTTATTGATTATTTATATGTATTGTGTATTTCGTAAAGAATACAATTGTTATCTTCTTTATTTTATATTTTATTGAAATATATGAACTACATTCATCAAACGAGAAATAAAAATATATTAGACTTTTTTATGGAATATAACAAAAAATAATGAAAATTAAAAAAATATATATGTATGTGTATATTTCTAAATTATATTTATATTTTATAAATTATATATTTTTTATAATATTTATAATTTATAAATGATATTTATTAAGGTTATAAAGATGTTTTCTTAGTCCATTTATAGAATCATAAATCAAAATACAGTTTTTCTAAATAGTCTTTATTTTTTGGTATATATTCATATACTTGTTTATATATGTATGAATAGTAAAAGAAATATAATGAATTGTAAAATGAATAGTTACATATGTGCATAATAAAGTCAACTATTATGCGATAAATAGCATATTTAATTTATTAGATATCTTTGGAATATTGAAGGCATATAAAAAGCCTGCTTTACTATGCAATATTAATAATTAACAAAAAACAACATTAGTTAGGAAAAACATGATTGAACGAAATGAAAAATATTCAAAACGAAATGTTATCGAATTTATATAGAACTTATATAGAAATAATATCGTCTCACATGCAATATTTCATTAAACTTTTTTACTCTATTATAATTATAAACATTTAATGTACAAAATTGATATTTCATAGAAACATAAAACAAATTTTAATTAAGGAATAAAATTTTATAAAATGAGACAAAATGATTCATTTTTTTGATATATTGAGATTGAGTCTTTCTGTTATGTATGAGTTCCGAATATTTTTGATCTTGAAATTATAAAATTTAAAAAAGAAAAAATAAAAATAAGTAATTAACAATTTAAATGTAATATATATATGTAAAGTAATAATGTAAAGAATAATTGAAAAAAATTATTTTCAGAATTCGATAACAATACCGATCATTATATATAATTTTTTAAATTCAAATCAATTTTATAATAAATTTTTATTTTGACATAATAATATTAAATATTATATAAAACCTTTATAAAACATGTTGATTTAATTCTAAATCAATACTTTTGTTATTTTTGTTCCAGGTTAAAAAATTTAGAAAATGAGAGAGAAAACAAAATTGTTGACAATTGTAGAATGATCGATGTACAAAAATTAAACAATATCGAATGGATTGTTGAAGGAAGGAATAAACATATCAAAAAAACGAATAGCGTAAAAGTATATGAAGATTCATTAATAAAAAATAATCGAGAATTCTTCATACATGGTTGTAAGGTAGAAATTCCACTAACAGCATTCCATTCCTTTGATAAAGCTTTAGAACAATTTGACAAACTTGTTTCTTCAAAAATGAACATGCACGAAAAGTTGTCTAATAGACGAGCTTCTGTTATTGTATCGACGGATTCTATAATTAAGTCACAAAACAACACATTTTCGAGTAAAAAATATAATAAAAATGAAAATCACCTTACATATATTGAAGATAAAAATTCTCGAATACAAAAAATTTCTAATTTAATATCTGATAAAATAGATAGAGTATCTGCTACTAAAAAAATTGATATAAAATTAAATTTAAAATCTTCTTCTGATAAAAAAGAAAATAATTGTGTAAAATCAGAATCATATAAAGTATTAAACACTTATTATATAAAATCGCATATTAATAAAAAATTATGTAATGATAAGAAGATTATGGATGTTAAATTAAATAATACATCAAGCAAAAATAATTATTCGAAAAAAGAAACGATAGATTATAAAATCGAAGAAAATGCAAAAAAAAGAACAGTTTATGAACCAGTAACCTCAGATTTTACACAACGGAAAAAGATTCGTACATCAATTGATGAACATAAAGAAATCAATAGAAAAAAGAGAAAAAAATTAAAAAAGTTTCGAGCATATTTCGGAGATTGTATAACTATTAGTGAAGATGAACAGGAACAAATTATTTTACAAAACAGATTTGAAAGAAAAAGAAAAAAAGATTCTGCTGATTCTAGTGATTCTGGTGTGTATATTACTGATAAAAGTATGCCTCTACAAATTATAAAAGATATTCAGAAAACTATATCTAATTCAATAATTTGTGGAAAATTTAACGAAAATCTATCTGGAGAAACTATTGTAAATGCCAATATAGACTATGAATCAAAAGTTATTAATAATGAAGATATTAAAACAATTGATTCAATTGAAAATAAAAAAGTATCAAAGATCAAACAAGATATATATGGAAAAATCATTGCAAATGTTAATACAAATAATGAATCAAAAGAAATTATTGACAAAGAAAATACTAAAATTATTGATTCATTCGAAGATAGAATATCAAAGGTCAAGCAAGATGTATCTGGAAAAACCATTGCAAATGTCAATATAGATGAATTAAAAAAATTATTGATAATGAAAGTATTAAAATTGTTGACTTAGTTGAAGACAAAAAAGAATTGAAAGGGAGGCAAGTCATATTTGCAGAAACCATTGTAAATGCCAATACAAATAATAAATCAAAAGAAATTATTGATAATGACAAAAATATTAAAACTATTGATTTAATTGAAGATAGAAAAGGATTAAAGTTCAGACAAAATGTATTTACAGAAACTATTGCAAATATCAATACAGATAATGAATCAAAAGAACTTATTAATAATGAAAGTATCAAAATTATTGATTCAATTGAAGATAAAAACGGATTGAAATTCGGACAAAATGTATTTGAAGAAACTATTAGAAATGTCAATACAAATAATGAATCAAAAGAAATTATTGACAATAAAAGTACTAAAACTATTGATTCAGTATTGAAGATCAAGCAAGATGTATCTGAATCAATACATCTTGCCATTGCAAATGTCAATATAAATAATGAATTAAAAGAAGTTTCTGGCAATGAAACTATTGATTCAATTGAAAGTCTAATAAATATGGAAATTGAAAACAATGAATTACAAATTATTCAAACAAAGAAAAACAATATATCTCAAGAAAAATTAATTAATACTGATAAGGACAATGTTATACTAAACAAACATAGACTAAGTGTTATACAAAGCAAAGATAGATCAAACAAAGATATACCTCAAATAACTAAAGAAATAGAAGGTAGTGCTTCTTTAAAAAAAGTAGAAATAAAAACTGGTAATACAACATTATCTTCTGATATTTTTTGTTCCACAAATGATACAATAAATGTAACTGAAGATTTTTCAGAACTTCAAAATTATAATTTAGATATAAAAGATTTTAATGATCTTCTTTATATGGATATTACTGAAACTTGTCAAATCACATCAAATGGAAATGTTCTTAGCATTCAAGAAACTATTGAAGAAGTTATAAATAAAAATATTGATGAAAATTCAAATTTAAAAAATTTATCCGAAACACAAATAGATTGTAACCAAGATATTAAAAAAACAAAATCAAATTGTATTGAAGAAAATAATAAAGATTTAAATAAAATGCAATCTTCTGATACAATGATAGAGACAAATACAAATGATAGAATTATTTCTATAAATAATATGAATAATGTATCAAAGAAGGAAAATGAATTACCAGTGGCAGAATTCAAATTAAATATTTTAGAAAAGAAAAACATTCAATCCAATAATCTATCTCAGAGTAGATTAAGAGTTTTATCAAGTGCAGAATTAGGTTCTAGATGGTGTCCTACACCTATAAACACTGTTATGTCTAGTGTTCCTCAATTTTCACATTCTACTCCTCATTTCACAAATACAGCAACTTTATCAAATGTTAATTTGGATAATACTATTGTTGTTTCGACATCAATGGCTCAAATAGTACCTACAACAATATCTTTAATTACTACATCAGCACCTACAGCAATTAATGAAACAACAATTTCTGAAAATATGAGAAAAAATAATATAGATCACAAATTTTCAAAATCTGTTTATATTATTTTCGTGAACATACGTGACTTAATTCAAAAAAGACGAAATACTAATTTGAATATTAATTATGATAAGTTATTATTTACAGAATTCGAAAATCTAAGAAAAATATTGAATATAGAAGATTATATTGATTTAATTGATGGAGTTTTAAGTATACTTAACAAAGAGATGTTAGTTATGCCATTATTATCTTTAGGAGAATTGTTTCATTATACGCCACTAATCGAATCTTTTTATATTTGTTCGTCAAATAAACGTAAGACTGTAGTAAATAATTCTAATGAATGTCAAATTATAACACCTGTAATTGTTTCAAGTCAAATAACATCAAATCAAAATAGATATTCTAATCCACAAGTATCACAGAATGTATGTGTTACATCTATGCATTCTACATTACAACATGTAGTTCCTGTTAATCAAAATCAAACATCTACAAATGTTACTTTAAAACAATCTTATCAGAATTCTCAAGGAAAAGTCATTTTGCAATCACAAAACAATTCATTTCAAAATAATATGCCAATAAATTCTACTGCTATTAATAATCATAACATACATCAACATAATTATAACATGCAAATGCACAAAATTGTTACTCAACAAAAAGTTCCAAATTCTTATTTTGTTCAACAGAAACCAGCTACAAATATATATACTATGCAAAATCTTCCTGTACAACATTCCTCATTTTCTTTTAATATTAATCAATTAGGAGACCGACAAATTTCTTTATCAAATCCACAGTTTATAAATCAAAAATATGTTCCACAAAATGTTTTTACATCACAAAAAAATACATTTTATAATGTAAATCCAAGTTATCCTATACAACAAAATATAAATTCAACACATTTACAGAATATAGTTATGCCTCCTGTAACTCAGCAATATCAAAATCCAACACATCAACAAAATGTTTATAGTATATCACAAGATATTCAGTTACAAACTATTCCACAACATATACCATTAAATTATAATATACGACAATCTGTACAGCCTATATTTGCAATGAATGTATCATATAATGAACTTAAACATCGAAAAATACCACAAAAAATATCAATGGAAGCTTTACAAAATCATGTATCTGAACAAGTATCGTCATCTCAGAAACAGCACAAGAAAACGAAATCTATTTCAAAGAAGAAAAATCTGCAAATTTCATTAGAATCGACAACAAAATTATTCAATGTATTAAAATATATTTCTGATATTCAAAAAATTGTATTATTGAAACAAATAGATTTCTGCTTTAGTTGTACTACATGGTTACAACAACAATTTACGTCAGAACAATGGCAAAAAATTAATTCACAAAGATGTTTATTACTTAATTTTCGAACACGTTTAAAACATCTGATAGAAAAAACTGTAAAAGATTTTCTACCAGATAAATCTCAAGGAAATATGTTCGAAAAAAATATACTCAAAAATATTAAAATTGATGTTCCAAAAATGGTGCAAATTGTAGTAAACGAAAATGAAGGAATGTATTGTCAGGAAGTAACTAAAGCTTACCAAGAACAGAATAAAATAATGAATGTTAAACAAAATTGTGTGACACATCAAGAAAATTTAACACAAAATCAATATGAAAAAGAACACGAAGCAACTAATAATTCACAAAATAAGGAAGTTTCAAATGAAAAACAAAAATTAGAAATATCAAATAAAGAAGTACAAAACAAAACATTTGGAAAAAGAATTCTGATACAGAAAGATAATTCTCCAGTTAAGTCAAGTTTACAAATATGTGAAACATCAGAAATTGTTGTTCATCAAGAGAATAAAATCGAAGAAGAATCAAATAATTCCAAAGATACATACAATTTAAATATTAAGGAACAAAATTTAGGAGTACCAGGAAAAATAATCGAAAATATTTCTCAAATAATTGAAGAAAAAACATCAGTATTATCAAATATGAAACTACCTAACAATGATATTCTGCAATTAAATCAACATTTAGTTACTGTTGAAATATCTTCTAATAATGATCAAGTAACTGTTATTGATACTAATGCTAGTAATGAAACTAAATCAAAGAATGAAGAATCTACAGAAGAACTTCAAAAAAAACTTCAAAAAGAACTTCATATTTCATCATCATCTTTAGAAAATACAAGTTACAATATATTAACAATATCTTCACCAAAAATTGCAAATAATGTGAAAGATTTTGATAATGAAGATTTGAATAACTCTTCATTGGAAGAAACTATTACATCTCACATTGAAGATATTAGAAGTATTTCATTAGAAACATTTGAAAAGATGGAAGAAACTAATAATATTATAAGTACAACAGATGGAAATATTGAAGAGGAAGAAATTAAAATATGCTTATTTTGTGGAAAACCTAGTACTGTAGCATGTTCTATTTGTTTAGAAGCTAAGTATTGTTCTAAAGAGTGTTTTGAACGACATTGGCAAGATCATTATAAAGAGTGTACACCTGTAAAAAAAAGAGTATATAATTAAAATTTAAAATAATTATTTTTGTTATTTTATTCATCTTTTATAACAAAAAATATTTAAACTATAACTTTGTTATAGTTGAAACAAAATATAACATATAAATATAAAACAAATATAAAACAAAATATATTGTTAATGTTTTATATTAGACAATAAATATATTAATATATTTTCTTTTTTATCAAATAATGTGATAAATTGTTATTGTAAGAAAAAAAAACTAATTTTGTATTTAAAATAAATATATAAAATAAATATGTATTTCAAATGATATGTGAATCATTTTTAATACGTAATTATATATGACTACGATATATGATCTTTTGATGTAAATATAAAAAAAAATTCTATTTATTTATTTATTTTATTGCCAAGCATTACAAATTAAATACATGTAGATACTAAATATTAATTCTTCTAATGTTGTTCTTCATAACCAATTCCAGGTATGTAATTTATTCTAGGATTATGAAAGAGTGAATGTTTACCATCTCCCCATGGAAAAGGCTATACAAAAAATATTAAATTATAACTAAACTGATTTTTATTAGAATTTTATTTTAATGCTTCTAGTTAAAATTTATTTATTTTACCTTATTCATGATTTTTAAATAAGGATAATGAATAAATTCTGGGGGCGGTTTTGAATGTTCTTCTTGATGTTTCAAATAACAATTAACCATCGCAAGTCCAATTAGAGGAAAAGCAACAAAGAAAGTAACACCTTTCCATAATTTTATAGTACCTAAAATTATGTGGGATAATAAGTTTCGCTTACATAACATATATTTCTATCTTTTATTAATATTATACATGTTTGTATTTATATTAATAAAAATACATGATCGAAAGATATTTTTTTTAACAATTATAGTTATAGTGAAATGCTTTAGAAACGACAAAATAAAGTAATAAATAAAAATTGTAGAAAGTATAAGCAAGTACATATTAGATTTTTTGTATATTAAGATTCAATATGAATAAAATTTTTTATAATTTACCTTCTGAAACGCGATGAGTACGTTGTTCTACTGTCTTTACATATTCTTCCATACCTCGCGTGAAAGTATGACCAAATTGGCCTACCTTTAATATCTTCGCCATTTTATGAGTATAACAGTTACTGCACTACTGACTTTTGTTCATTCGATACTCGCATTACTTTGTACGATTATATAATCGCAATTGTCAAATGTAAATATTTTATGTTTCTAAAGAGAGATGTCGTTCAATGTTACTATGTGAATAAGATCAATCTTATTTATAGTTGATAAGTCAATATTGTTATGTACAGAATAGATTAAATTTCAATATAAAAATATAAATAAAAAAATTAGAACAAATATTGGTTACAGAATATCTTATTATTAATAATATGAAATATGCATTTTATAGAAAAATCATAAATTCCAGAATTGAATATTTATATTTTTAATATTAAAGATTAAAATATATAGATAAAAAGAACAAATAATATAAAAATAATATAAGAAAAAAATAAAGTAAGAATTGACTCCTAGTGTCATCTCTTGAATAAATTTTTTAATTTTCAAAATAGAATAGAATAAGAATTAAGAATTAATACCATCTTTTAAGTATCTTTAAAAAATAATTTTTTAAAAAGATGTTTTTGAAATTCAAAAGGTGGCATTGAAGATCAATTCTTAACCTATGTTTATCTTTCTTCTATTATTTGTTGTTTTTTCTACATATATTTCATTTGTATCATTCTGAAAATGGCGCTGATTTTTATACTTTATCTTTTTCTTATTATTTGCTTTCTTTGTTTACTGATCTATAGAACATTTATATGCTCGAGAAATGACACCGATATCTCATTAACTTTATTGTCTTCTTTGCTTAATCTATTAATTAAAAATCTTAACAGAATCTGATCCAATTTTTATATATTATATATATGATTTAAATATTAATTTAATATATTAAAATACTTTTCATGAATATAGATTGTTTACATTATATGCTATAGTTTTATATACAAAAGATATATATAATAGATATATAATAGATCCATTGTGTCATCCATTAAGTCACGTGATATTTTATCCGTTATTTTAATTTCTAATAATTTTAACCGTATATTACTACCGAATAGAATGATATTTCCTTTATCTTTTTTTTATATCTTTTTTCTTATATAAATAAAAAAATTAATTTGTTATTACGATATGTTTTATTAATAATACAAGTATTATTATGTAAAATTATGATAAAATAAATTAAATTATTTATAACTAAATTCTTTTAATATTTTTTTTGCTTTAATGAAATTTATAGTTTAAAAATAATTAATATATATTTTAATATGGATAATAATTTAATATAGATAATAATAATTAGTAAATAATGCAATATAATATTATTTCATTAAAATATTGTTAAAACATTATTTATTTTTGGATTAAACTAATCATTTATATGCCGAGTACATATATACATATATATAATAATTTATCTTAATTATTTTCCGAAGTAATAATATATAATTCTAAATTATATTAATATAATTAAATATCAAACTTATTCTACACGCTAAATGAGATGTGATGCGTTTTATAACACATTTTATTGTAAATAAATGAACGCGGAAAAAATTATTATTTATTATGTACTCATTTAATTAATTAAACAAAATATTAAATGTAATTTAATATCTTTCAGTTCGAATGGGTAATTCTACCTCAAAAAATAATTATCACAATAATCAAAAGTATACTAGTCAGGTATATATCATTTAAAATTGTTATAACCTATGTAATTTAAATAATGTATTTAATAAGATAAGTTATTATTAATATGCCATTGTATTTTAATTGATAAAAATCAATAAATATTATTATAATATATATATATATATATTATTTCTACAGTACAGTCTTAGTGATATAATTGGTGGAAGTTGCATTGGATCAACACAGTCTTCACAGAAAGAAATTAAATCATGGTCTCGTGCTTCTTGCAGAAGGTAACTTTATTATTTTATCATATATGTAGGTTTAATAAAATTTATGTGTATCTTTTTAATTTTAGCTGGAGCGAAGGCACATTAAATGACCCATTGGGTAGTTCAAAGACATCATGGCCTGTATCACGTACTCAAGCTATGTTTCTTCCAGAATTTCAAATAAAACAATACCTTTACAACATGCTTATACATTTGTAAGCATAATAGCCAAAGGAGCTTATGGAAAAGTATATAAAATTCAAAAACAAGATACTGGACAATTTTTTGCTTTAAAAATAATTAATAAAGCAAAAGTAGTTGCCGAAAATGGTATAACACAAGCTAAACAAGAAGTATATATATTTTAATTCAAGAAATATTTTCTTATTTTGAGCAATGATTAAATTTAAATTTATATTTAATGTTATAGGTATCTATACAGAGATTGGTTGGTCACCATCCATTTATATTAGATTGTTCTCATAGATGGCAAGGAAGAAAAACACTGTATATATGTAAGTCTATTGTCATATATATTATTAAATATATATTAATAATATAAAAATATAATTATTATTAAATTTTTTAATATTTAATGTTTATTTATTTCAGTAACTAATTATATTGGAGGAGGAGAATTATTTTCATTAGTCGAACAATGTGGCTCTTTGCCAGAAAATATAGTTAGAATATATGTAGCAGAAATTGCTTTGGCAATTGGTAAATAAACATTGTTTTTAATGGTAATTAAATCTAGAATAAAATGTGTAATGTTCTTTTTTATTATTTTGTTAAAGATTTTTTGCACAATGCTGGTGTAGTACATAGAGATATAAAAGCTACAAATGTTTTATTAGATGAAGAAGGTCATGCTGTAATTATTGACTTTGGTCTTGCAAAATGGTTAAATCACACAGAAAGAACACATACGCTTTGTGGAACACCAGAATATATGGGTAAGTATTAAAATATATGTAGTATTATAAATATTAAATTATCAATATTTTTTCATTTTGTGTATTTAATTATAGCACCAGAAATATTCAATAGACAATATTATGGTCAAGAAGTTGATTGGTGGTCATTGGGAGTATTGACTTGTTTTATGTTTACATATCAGGTATGAATAACATATATATATATTTTTAAATTAAAACAATTTTTATATTATATACTTATATACTTATATACTTTGGAATTAATGCGAATACAAAAAATAATAGAAAGAGTTATGAAACATAACAATATATATTTACGAATTTAAGTTTAAGTTTTTTAATCTTTTTTTTTTTTCTATCTTTCAAAGCAATAATTTTTAATATAATATATATATTGTATTTAAAAGTATTAGTATTTGCTATTTATAACTATTCGAAAGAAAGAGCCAATCAGTGGACTCCGTGGCGCAACGGTAGCGCGTCTGACTCCAGATCAGAAGGTTGCGTGTTCAAATCACGTCGGGGTCAAGAAAATTTTCTTTAGTTTTTTTTTTCAATGTTTAAATAAAATAGAAAAAAATTTTATAGATTTATAAGTCTAATAAATATACAATTTTTTTTATTTTGTTATATATTTTATTTTTAATTTTTCAATATATTATAAAGAAATAATTATTAATATTATTAATAATTTTTACGTAATTTAAACAGAAATTTTAATAATGAATATTTTTAAATAGAAATCAAATAGATCTTTTATTTGAGAGACATATTTAAAAAATTTGAATAAATTTTTAAAAAATTAATTTTTTTAAATTTTTAGCAATTTTTTTTATTTAAAATAAATCTTTTAATTATTTAAATTATTTAAAACATATTAATATATATCTATTTTTGTTTTTAATAATATCTTTTAAAAAAAATTACAATATAAATAATATTTTAAGAATTATCTTTATGGATATAATAATAATAAATATTTAATTATATTAACAATAACATGAATAAAAATTTAATTTTTATTTGAAGTGAAAAAATAATTCCGCCCCCGGGTGGGCTCGAACCACCAACCTTTCGGTTAACAGCCGAACGCGCTAGCCGATTGCGCCACGGAGGCATTTGTTGATTCATTTCTTTTCGATTCCTTTTTAGCCATTTTATATTTTTTTTTTTACATATGATTTTGTTACATGATTTTATTTTGTAATTTTTATCTTTTTGATATTTTTGTCTCGTTATCGTACATTTTGCAAGAAAAATTATTTTTAATTTTTCGCATATCAGAGTATATATTTAAAAGTTATTTTTTCTTATTTCTTTTTGAGTTGAAAACTGTTTTATAATATTCAAAATTATTTTCCTACAAATATTTGAAAGACAATGAAAATTTATTATTCATATATTAGAAAATGTTTTAGAAATTATTTAGCAGATTTTTTTTTGTCATTTTGAAATTTCTTTATTTCTTAATTTCTTTATATTAATATCAATTATTAAAAACAACATGCATACCCGCTATATGAGATATTTATACTTATAATTTCATCGAATTAAAATATTATCCGCAACATCGTCGTACAATAATTCCATATGGAAGCTATTTAAATATGATAATAATTGTTATTATATGTATATTTATAATTTTTACGTTACATATTTTAAGTATATTATCTTTATTTTATTGTATTATCTAGAATAGATCTCAAGAAAATGAACGATTTAAAATAGGGATACAATTACTTTCCTATGAACGGTGTCCTGCACGCTTTTCATCGATGCTTCTTGCGTAAAAGTATGCAACTGGGACTCGGAAAGAAGAAAGCAAACGAGCGTGTCTCTCGTTGCAAAATCTTTCGTGCCTTGACATTTTCATCGGGTCCACTCACCTCGCGTATCCTCACTGTTTACAAAGCTTATTCTCGGACAAGATAAAATAACTTTTCATACGGCCTTTTGATGAATCGACATCCACTGTGTCACAGAGAAATGTCGATGTGTTTAGCGCGGTCGTAAGATCATTCGTTAGCCATGACACGGTCAATCACGTGAATGCCTGGTTTTTGTGCATTCATATTCTTAAAGATTTTTTTTTTTTAAAATCAACAATAACATTATCGTTTAACGTAATAACGAAGATTTTATTTCAAAAGATGATTTATTTTTATCAAACAATTTGATTCGAGATTTTTATTTTATTGAATCGAGGGATAAGATCTTATTCTATTGGGTTTCAACTGAATGGAATGTGGAAGTTTATGTTTCAGAGTAGTATGTCGATTTCAGTAGGCGTTTTAATAACGTGTGTTATTACTCGAGTTATATATAACACGTTTTAAAAATGGTGGACAATACCTTGAAGCGAACTCGACGCGATAATCTATTTTGGAATAGTTATACGAAAGATTTAAAAAAACGTGCTCGTAATAATTATAATTCCTAAGCGCATTTGTAATAAAATATTTCGAACGATGGAATCGAAGTATATTTCTTCGACAAAAAAAAGTTTAAAAAGTTTTCTTCATTTTCTAGATTTTTGATTTTTCTAACAAAGGAGGGAAAAGATAATTTATCGATGAGATGCATGCAAGGATCAATCAATTGTCAAAAACTCATTGTCCACAGTAATAATAATAATTATTATTATAACGATGATAGCAATAATACAAATAATAATATTAATAATAATAGCGGTACTGGTACTAAATCGTAATAATAATAATAATATTAATAATAATAATGACACGTATCTCTAAAAAAAAAAAAAAGAAGACAGAGTCGAGCTACACACTAGTTTTATTGGGATGAGGTTGTGGTTGTGGTTCGTGTGTCGTTTTTTTGAGGGGGAGGGGAAGGGGGGAGGGAATAAAGAAAAAGAGATTCTGGTGGAGAAGGGAGGGGTGGAGGGGGAATTTGGGATAAGGATATACTAAAATATTAGGGGGCCGATTTCGTCCCCGCGGACAGATCGCGGTGTCCACCGGGACGAAGGAGAGGATGATCCCTGGCGTGCACCAAGTCAGATCCCAAAGGGTGACCACGTGTTCCTGAGATGTAGATGTTTTCGTTTTTCCGTTCCGTATTCGATCCAAGTTTCCATTTTCATCGTGATCATCATCATCATCGTCGTTATCGTTGTTTTCAGAGTCTTGTTCCAACCTGATCTCCTCTAAGTTTCATCCCTCACAGCCAGGTGGCCACGTGGTCATCCTGCCCCGAGTCGATGTGAATCTTCTCTCGGAATCGTAGCGCGCCGGGGGAAGTTTTGGACCCTGCCACAGAATTTGATCGCGCAATCTCTCTCTCCCATTCACACCGATATACACTCTCACTCCGTCTCGTTCTCTCTCTCTCTCTCCCGCTCGCTGCTTTTCTCTACCCGGGGCCGAACAATTCGCGCATTCTTGTTCATCTTTTTTTTTTTACGTTTATTAATTTTTTTTTTGTCTTTTTAAATGTTTTTTTTTTTCGTTTTCCCATTTTCGTCTGGTGATTCTGAACGCAGTGGTCTGGACGAGTGGCGAGTCAGTGTCCGCTGCTCCGTTCGAGATGTTTTGCTTGAGAATTTTTCAATCGAGGTTATCGTTCTCTCTTCTCCTTCTCCCGCCTCTCGCTGCGACCGTTACCCTCGCTCCTATCGTTCACTTACACTTTCAGTTCTTGAGGTTTGGGCAGAAGTTCGGGCTTGGATTCCTCGCCAGCCTTGGACTCCTGCTTGGACTCCTCGGAGGACGAGGACTTCTCCTCCTCGCTGCCCTTGCTCTCCTTCTTCTCGTCTGATTTCTCCTCGGAGGAATCATCCGAGCGCTCCTTCGCTTCCTTCGCGGCGGCTTCCTGCAGTTTCTGCCCTTCCTCCTTCTTTTCCTCGGCCTGCTCGGATTTCGCCTCGGGCTGAGCCTCCGCGGTCTCGCGTTTAGCTTGGCTGGCTTCAGCGGGTTTGGCCGCCGATTGCTCCGAGGATTCTTGAACGGAACCGGCACCTACCTCGGCGCTCTTCGCTTCCTTTTCCGGTTGAGGAGCAGCGGCAGCGGCTGCAGCGGCGGCAGCGGCAGCGGCCTCGGTCTTCTCCTCGCTCTTGGACGACGATTCCTCGGAACTGAGAGCTGGCTGCTCGACGCCCGGTTGCTGACCCTTCTCGCTCTCCACAGCCGGCTTGTTCTCCTCCGCTGCCTTGGCCTGATCCTGTTGCACGGCTGGCTGCTGTTCCGCTTTCTTCTCCTCGGGGGCAGCTTCCTCGGCGTCGCGGGTCACACGGTCGGGCTTCTCCTCGGCCTTCTTCTCCTGTTGCTCCTCCTGTGCCTTCTCGGCCTTCTTCTCCTCGGCGGCCGGCTGAGCCTTCTCCTCCGACTCGGAGCTCGACTTGGCTTCGTCCTCCTTCCTCACGCTCGGTTTCGCTTCTTCCTTACTCTCCTCCTTCGCTTCCTCTTTGCCAACCTCCGCGCTCTTCTCGACGGAGTCTACCTGCTCGGAGCTCTTTCCCTCCGCCACGGCTGCTTTCTGTAACACGAACACGAACGCTTACGAGAAATCGAACTTACGAGCAATTATTAATAAGTTGACGAAAAATTTCGAAAACGTACACCAACGGGTTGTTCCGCCGGTACCTCTGGGACGGGTGCCGCCTGAGGAACGGCTTGCACCACGGTCTCGTGGGACTCGGAGGCGGCTTGCTTCAAACTCTCCTCTTCCTTCTTCTCTTCCTGAGAGGAGGCCTGCTCCTGCGGCTTCTGCTCTTGCGCGGCCTGCTGTTCACCCTCCTGCTGCGGTTGCTGCTCTTGTTGTTGCGGCTGTTGTTGCTGCTGCTCGCCCGCCTTCTCCTGGCCGCCTTCCTCCTTCTTCTCCTCGGGCTTCGCTTGTTGCTCAACCTCCTCCTTCTTCTCCTCCAGGGCCTTCTCGCCCTGTTGAGGGTTCTCGGCGGCCTCGCTCCTCACGCTCGGTTTCTCGGCCTCGGCCGATTTCGCCTCGGCCGGCGCCGCCTCCGCCGCCTCCTGGCTCGCTGCTGGCGCGGCCTCGGGGCTGATCGGGGCATCGGGCTTGCTCGCCGATTTCTCGAGCGGAACCACTTGGAGGGGCTCCTGGTTCTCGGCCACCGGCATCGAGAGCACCGCCTTCTGGCTCAACAGGCACACCATCGCCAATACGAGTAGCTTCGTCATCTTGATATCTGCGAGAGAAAGCAGGAGGGGAAATACGTGTAATAATACCGATGATAAGATATAAGAACGATGTCGAGACGAATCTTATCGCGTCGTATTTCACGAGAAACAGTGAGGAAGAGGCGCGTAGAGGAGAGGAAACGTTTCTCGTAATCTTCCAGTTAGAGGAGCGGACGTGAGTGAGCAGCTTCATGAATGGAGAACGTGAATGGGCCACCGATGGACGAAAAGCAGGAGCTTTTAGAATGGAAGCGGAGAGAGAGACGAGCGGAATTGGAGGACGGAGGAACCGGCAGGAAGGAGAGGGACGGAGGTGACATTGAACCGAATGCATTGAACAAGGCGAGCGTTATGGAACTAATGACAGGATGCGTGCCCCTCGTTACGCGTACGCGCCAACCACGGACGCGCGTCTCGTTCTTCGTTCCTCGTCACGTTTTCCTCGCGAATCCGTGACGACAATCGGTGGACGCGTGTCGCGTTCATCGCCTTGCTGCCACCGGATGCTGACAATACCCGACAGATTTAATCGTGGCCAGCAGCAGGTGGAGATCGTCGTTGCATCTTTTTCACAGATCGCTCAATGCGATTTATCGTATCCATATTCTTTCCTTATACGTTGATTAATTTTTGAAACAAAAGTGAAATTAGGTTAGGCGTCAATCGAACGAACGTAACGTGCTGCGCGCGCAACGGAAAGTGAAACATGGGTGGAACTTCCGCAATAGGCGGAAACGGATGAAGAGAGGACATTGTTCGGAAATTGGATGGAAATCGGAGTCGTTGCGACGATCAAGATATTATTAAGGGGAAAAAAAAAAAAAAAGGAAGAAAAATAATTAATCGCGACGAGAACAATAAATGGAAGGCGGCAAAAATTTATGACGATCGAACTTGTTGATTTTTTGGCGCAGCTACTTTTTTGTTTTATCCCTGAAAACAAGGGGACGAGCACGAATAACGGAACCGATTCTATTCTAATTATAAAACGTCGCGTCCATTATTACGAAGCTTGGTCGTCGCGTAAATCGATTCCGCTGCGCACATCGGTATCGTATGCGCGTTACGTTCCCTCTTGGCATCGAGGTAATACACGTGAGAGCGGGCAAAGTCTTGAAACCGGAGACAATCGTCGCGGTGTCGCATGCGACGATTTTCTTTGCGACAGAACAGAGCGTTAATCGTCGCATGTTATGGCGTGGTGCAAAAATATTCAACGACGATGCAACGATACTTTTCGTTCGGATCAATAAATCCACACTCTCGTCCCTCTTTCTCGCACCGAATTTCAACTGTCATTTCAACCTTCTTTTCTTTTTTTTTTTCTCTCCCGATCGAGCGAAACGAGCTGACGAAATTGACACACGCGTGCGTATACCGGTCTGAAACTGGTTCGTGAAGAGAGAGAGAGAGAGAAGAAAAAAAAGAAAAAGAAAAGAAAAATAAAAATCACAGTATATCGACATTCTTTCGATTTCACGCGGCACCGTCGCACGACCTTCCGTTCGGAGCTTGCGGCCAATCAAGCGGGTAATTTATACAGAGAGGAAGCTGTTCCCGTTGCGCGTACGTCGAAGAGAGAGACGAACGCGGTTCGCGAACGTTCCATCGTAAAAATCGAAACTGGTCGAAAGGATGGAAGATGGGCCAAAGAGAATCGGGTTCCTTCTGGAGGAGCGTCGAAGAGGGAGGGGGAGGGAGGATTTTAATGAGGAGGAAAAAGTGGAATGGGCCGCGAACGGATATCTGGAAACGACACGCCTTCTGGAGGAGAGCGTGGAATGCGCATCGAGAAGGTGAACGGTTCGGAGAGGGAAAATGGCGAGGGATAAAGAGGGAAAAACTGGGCGACAGCCTGGTGATCGGGCGAGGAAAGAGGAAAGAGGTTGAAACGGTCCAGTTTTTACGATGGAATGGGCTCGCGTTCGCCAATTGGACGAACGGGAGGTGAACCGTTCCTCGTTACGCTTGCCTCCGTGTAACTTTGTATACATCGACCGATCTTTGCCCGAATTCTCGAAGTTAACGAAATTTCCTGTATGCGTAAATGACACGCGATCGAATAAATAATCAATCTTCGTAAACGATTTTAAAGAGATATTAAAAAAAGAAGAAGAAAAAACACGTTTTGGAACTCGTAAATAATAAAGATAATGATAAATTTTTACTGGAGAAAGATGCGAGATGTTGGAGGAGGAGGACGACACGAGGTGAACGTTCGACGGGTTCCCCTGTTGAAGACTGAGAAGAAACGAAATTAAGGGACAAGTATACATTAGCGAGTCGTATAATCGACATTAATAACAATCGTCCAGGCCTGATCGTGTTGCAAGCGGACGTAATGGGCCGCAATAAAGTTAATTGCAAATTACTTTGCGAGTCACGAGCGTGTAGGTAACCGTCCCCGCGTATACACGCGTGTGTATACGTAGCGCACGCGTATATATAACCTCTGGAATCGCGTTGTTGCGCGTTTTGGTTAATTGCAACGTTGGTCAACCTCGAAACCCTGCACGGCAAGATGTGTAATACGGGGAGGAGGATGATTGCAGAGGGAAGGGAGGATCCGCGGAAGGGCCGTAAGAAAATTAAAACGACGATATATCCCTCTGTTTGCGAGGGATAGGAACGAACACCGGAGGAGAGGAAATGCCTGTGAAAGATGGATGATGGACACCCATTACCTTATCAAGATCATCAGAGATGTAATAATGGTACACCACCGCTTACAAAAGAAGACGCTGCCACCGTCCATTCAAGTGGTTCACCGCTTCAATGCTTTCTGCTCCCTTCTCTCTTTCTCTCGCTCTCTCCCCCGTTCTTCTCTCTCTCTCTCTCTCTCTCTCTCTCTCTCTCTCTCTCTCTCTCT